TTGAAATGTGTCTGATCTGGAAGCAGTGAAAGACATGTCAGGGGTGCTTATGGGTGGGTGGTGCTTTGTTGACTCGGGCGCCAAGACCGTTTTGTTCGCCGTTTGGTCATTTTTCACGTTCAGACTTAACTGGTGCCGATTTCCCGAATCAATCATTTCCTTTACGAAATCACCGAAAATTATTAATGGCTCTTCGCATGGCTTAGCATGAATACAATATTTAGACCAAGTTACGGAAAACAGGATCCATCTGTAGTTGCATTGTTTCACTTATCCGCCATGTACCGTGCAACTTGGATACCTGGCTGTCAGCATTCTTCGTTTCCTAATATGCCATATCTACTTGCCTATCTGTCGCCTTCCCAAACTTCTAAATATTTTTGTCTTCCAGCTTCCGGTTACTTGAAGTCGCTTAGCTTGTCTCCAATGAAGCACTCATTTGGATGAGTGCTTCCGGTGGATGATGCTGCTACCTATAAAAGATGCTCCGAAAAGCTTTTCGTCATGGGGCGTGGTTTCCAACACGGACTGAATTTTTGCATGCGTTGTCCCTCTTACCAGACGATGATCGTATTGTTATTTTGCGTTATGTTCATCAGCGTGACGTGTTATCGCGAATGGTTCGTCTTTTGTTAACATCACCATAATATCCCGACAGGCCGGTCGTCTCTTGATGCGACAGGCGGTTGTCTCGTGGTTTTCGGTTGATTCCAGTGCCATAGTTTTTGACCGCACGGACTTGGGCAGGCCGTTTGTGGTTGGTTATCAGAGTATTCTGGATCTCAACATTTCGCATGGGGGTGAGTTTACGACAATCGTAAGCGTGAACCAAGGCCGCTGTGGCGTAGATGTAATGAGAATTGAATTACCTCGTAAGTTGTTCATTCTTATTGCTATTAATTATTTTTATAACTCTCGCTAACATTACTCTCTCTGAGAGCAACAGCATAGAACGTTGACGCTTCGCTGCCGCCAGCATGTATCCTGCATTTATGCATCAGCAAAATCGGCTTCCTCAGTCTTTCGTTGACATTTTCCTTGATTTTAGTGTACTTCCAAGAGTGTGTTATTATGTCCACTCCTTAAAGTTGGCGTTAAAGTTGGTGAAAACCAGCATAGAGCTATAGGGTTTTCATCTTGCTGTAACTAACGACTAATTTGATCTCATCTGGGAGTCGCCACCGACTGCCGTCATATTCCGTGAGACACAGAGTAGTCCTCGCTCTCAAGCTCATCCGAATAGATTCGATCTGTGTTGTTGATTTCGGCTCTGCGTTACCTTGCGTTTTGATGTGATTAGGACAGGGAGTTACATGCGGCCCTGTCTGATGGTTTTCTGCTTGCTTGTTGAGCACAGTTATATGGCCCCTACGCTCATCTCTTCACCCTTCATCATATGACGTTTTGGGTACCAGAAAACTGAGGTATCCTCATTTCAGGTCTGTATTGGGCTCTGTATCAGTTAACGGGCCTTGCTAACTTGAGACACCTATG